GACGTACATATCGCGAGACGACTAACTTATGGTTCGCCGGTAAAAAGTAACAATGGGATCTCCTCGCGACAAAGAATAGAATAGCGCAAGGATAAATCGAGTTTTCCCGAAGCAAGTTTTGTGTATGATTTTTTAAGCGTGAGAAAAATCCAAGATTTACGCACGAGCGCGTTGAATATTCCCTATCTTCTTCTTCTTATTCTTCTTCTTCTTACATTTTTCTATCCATTTGAATATTATTCATTTTTTGTATATGAAACCGAAGGAAAAAATAAGAGAAAAAAATAGAAAATATAAACGAAATTGATTGTTACCGAGAGTTATCGTGACCGCGTTAGGATGTTACGTTAACGCAATATAATAGCCATTATAACTAAGCAGCATTAGAGAGCTAGCTGTGTATGTAGGGCGAACTTCAGAAGCACCCCGGAATAATAAATCTATCGAGTCGGCTGCGTATGAAAGCGCAGGGATTTCCGAGCGAGCAAGTTAAAATCACCGCACACGAACACGCGTATACTATATAACGTCTCGAGTCTCTCTATGTGTTAATGCTCGGTACGTACCGCGATACATTCATTTTCTTGAGGCTAACCCAGATACACGCCTCGTCGAAGTTTCAAGTTCAGCTCGCTTTTCTCTTTCCTCGTGCGGCTCTTTGTAGCTCCATATTTAGGAATGGTACCGCACAGGCCTTGTCTTTGCGCGCGTATACACGACGACGACGACAACGACTCATTTCTCGTCTCTCTTTGTAAACGTCGAAGGGTAGAGTATATTAGTTATTCCGTCCCTTTTACCTTTCGCGAGCTTCAAAGTTTCGTTGCCGCTGCAGCTGCAGCTGCGCGAGACTCGTAAATGAGAGCTAGCTAGCTGCAGCTGCCGGAGGAATTGTACTTGTCGCGCTATGTGTAGGTGTATGTATATGAGCAATTCCGGAATTTAGTTTCGAATTTTTTGACAAAAAACGGAAAAAATTTTTTTTCGTTGGACGCATACTATGAACCCTGGATATTGTTCTTGAAGGTCCAAGGAAGCTAAAGAAATGCGTGAACATGAAATTTAAACATAGGTAATTAATTTTTTCTGGCTACTTTTGTGTTTTAGGGCCCGAAAAGTCATGTTTTCACGTAAATACGAAAATTCACTCAATTTCTAAGTGGCTGAAAAAGTATCAAAACACATTTAAAAAAAGTGACTGACTACTCCATTCGATAGGAAATTTTCTCAGCTTTACGGTTGTGATTTCAGATTTTTCGATACATTGCATATTCACCGAGAAAATCATCACCAAATATGCCGAGCTAAATATCTCGAAAAATTCAGTACGAAAAAAGTGAACTTTTTGGTTTCTTTTTGATTTTTTCTCATGAAAATTGAATATTTCGAAAAATCTGATACTACTACGAAAAAGCGGATGAAAAATACAATCGAGGCCATATTTTCATTTATTTTTTCCGTCGAATTATAATGATATACAAGCCAATTTCTTTTACTGTATTCGCTGTTTTCTGTTACGGAACTGTTTTAATCGTGATCGCGAAGTTTTCAGCGTTGCGCGGCTCGCTACAATCAAAACTCGTTCATAATTCGACGGAAAAAATAAATGAAGATATGGCTTCGATTGGATTTTTCCTCAGCTTTTTCATGGCAGTATCAGATTTTCCAAATTATTCAATTTTCATCAGAAAAAATCAAAAAGAAACCAAAAAAAGCTATTTTTCCGCACTGATTTTTTCAAGATATTTTAGCTTGGCAAGTTTTGTGATGATTTTCTCGGAGAATATGCAATGTATCGAAAAATCTGATATCACCATCGGGAAGCTAAGAAAATTCACAATCGAATGGAGTAGTCAGTCACTTTTTTTAAATGAGTTTTAATACTTTTTCAGCCACTTAGAAATTGAGTGAATTTTCGTATTTACGCGAAAACATGAATTTTCGGGCCCTAGAACACAAAAGTAGCCAGAAAAAAATTACCTATCTTTAAATTTCATGTTCACGCATTTTTTTAGCTTCCTAGGACCTTCAAGAACAATACCCAATGTTCATAGTATGCGTCCAACGAAAAAATTTTTTTTCCGTTTTTAGTCGAAAAATTGGAAACTAAATTCCGGAATTGCTCATATACACGCCGAACCGAACTGTATATTTACAAAAAGTTGTCAAAGCCCCTCGCGCGCTCTGTGCTATACACAGTTGGCCTCTCAGCTTGTTTGCTCCGAACGAGACCGACGTGTGTGTGTCTGACTACACGTTGATCAATACTACTACTACTACTACTACTACTCGCGATCGATGGCGCTGTAATTTATGTAATGTACACATTTGCACCCACCCACGCCTGGACGATGTAATCGAGAATATTACAAAGCATTAGGAATATTCGGTGGCCTTTTCTTTTTTTATTTATCGTTATTTGCTCGACAGCAGGTGCAAAGCGACGCATCGATCAACCATACAGTATATAGTGTTAGAATGAATTCATCTCGACGGCGGCGATATGACGTGCGTGCGTATTTCCTCTCCCCTATCGTGTATATAATCCAATAAGATGTCCATACCGGCCTGGCGATCGTTGTATAAAGATAGCTCAGCTGTCGGGACGGCTCACACTTTTGCACTAATGTGCACAAACGGTCGCGTAAAAAACAAAAGAGATCAAGATTGATTACCCCCTCTGGCCGCGTGTCAGTTTTTGGACACGGGGGTGCTGCTACACGTAGGCTACGAGCTGCAGCTCGTTTTTCGTTTATACGTTACTGCCGCGCGCAAATTTGTTATCCTCGCGCCCCAGCGCTGGCACGAGTACAACATTGCACACGTGCGCCGCTGCAAGTGCGGCAATTACACTTCTTCTTTTTTCTTCTTTTCTCGTAATATATACGTTGGTATTTACGAGTGAGCTATATAACGCTGATTTGGGAGCCTAGGCTATATACGTGTGCAATGCTGCGGTCGTTCAATTTGATCGTTATATACGTGTGTGTGTGTGTGTGTTGTCGCGTCGTTACATATTCCGTTGATTCACGACCTTTTTTTCGATGAAATTAGGTCGATGAAAGATATATAATGTAATATCGCACAAACATAAGGGGCAAAATATTTGATCTCTCTCGTCAATTATATCGCGAGAGGGAATCTTTTTCGACTCATTATAACTCTTAATATAATCATTATACCGCTCGCCTGGGGGCCAGCAGAATATGTATGCCTCGCTTGGTGGTTATACGCGTGTGCATCCTCATTTTCTATATTATACACCTCTTTTTTATCCCCTTATTATTATTATTATTTTTTTTTTTAACCGACGCGCGCATATATATACTACATGTGTCGACTCGAGTGCAGAGTTAATATAACGCGGTGAAGCGGGAAAAATCCTCTTTACCAGCGTATTTCTTTATAAATGTTTGGTACACGGACGCACCGCCACCGAGCGTGGGCTTGGCGAAAAATTTAATGAAGTAAATGTATACGTCGAACGAGCAAGCGAGAGAGCAAAAACACAGCTTTGTTGAGTATATGCGTCCAAAAAAATACTAGAGTATGAAAAAAGAAGCAAGAAAAAACTTGATATTTTTTCTATATCGATACACGGTCAGAGATGCACGAGTATTTGTATGCCCCGAAAAACTTATTGTATACGAGGCCGTGGGAAAATTAAATTCAGCCCGCGAGAGAGCAGCTGATATTTCATAGCAACGAGAGAGCTCCGTGACAATTGAATTAATTCACTTCTGTATGCAGCCGACCTCTCTCTCTCTCTCTCTCTCTCTCTCTCTCTCTTGCTGCTGCTGCTGCCCAGAATCAACTTTCAAATGGCCCGAGCTCGTCGAGACTACTAGCCGGACGCGGCTTGCGTGCGTGCGTAGGCGAAGGCTTGAGTGGAGTTGCAAAAAAAAAGAAGGAAAGAAGAAAAATAGATGAGAGCTGTGTACACTACTCTACGGTCAAAGCAAGTTAGAATCTTTTTCTCGAGTTTGCAGGGCTGCGCCGAGCGCAAGTCAAAGTTTATCCAATGGCCTACGCACATACCCGCATACTCATAAAGTATATACTCGTGGTATACAACGTACACACAATAAGCCTGTTATACAAGCTCGGCCTGTAAACGCACGCGTATAACAACAAACAATTGAGCTATAAATAACAAAAGTGCAGTAAAACAAATCGTTTCTCTCTCTCTCTCTCTCTCTCTCTCTCTCTCTCTCTCTCTCTCTCTCTCTCTCTTTCTCTATTTTATAAAACTGTATATGAAACTATGCCTCGAACGCGTGAAGACGAGAGAGAGAGAAAAGAAAAATATGTAAGAGCTTGCGGGTGGCCTATACACACATTTTTCTTATACGCGTTAAAAGTTGCATTTTATTTCGCTTTATGTATCAGCAAGCAATCATAAAGATGTGTGAAACATTTTGCTGCCTTCGCGAGTAAGCTCGGGCTCAAAAACGGGTTTTTGAATCACCTGTTGATGGAAAAATTGTGATGAATTTCTCGACAATTCTTTGTGTGTGTGTCATGTATTTAAGGTAAATATTGTAATGAGAAATGAAACTACAAATGTATTTTGTTATTACCATAAAAAAAATTATTAAATATAAATTTTGATTCAAAAGCAATAAGTTTTAAGTCGAAATTTTCAACCGCAACTAATTGTAACATATTTATTGGCGATTTTTACAAGTAGTAATTTGGCCGTCATAATCTATAATCAATAATAATACATCAATTTTTGATATAGGATATAACACACCGACTAAATTATTTCGTACTTGACTATAAATCGATCCCAATCGAGTCTATGTTTTTCTAGATAATCATTACCTAGTGTTCCAAATGTTTCTATGTGCACTCGTCATTAATTTTCTGCAGTTGCAGTGTGGTTCAATGATTTTATGACCCACGGGAATAAGCGAGGTATCTTCGAATTCTTCGTTTACAGGTTTGTAGTGCCTAATCAAAATACTCTACTATGAAAATCTGCACTTTGGCACACGTCACACCCGCAGTCTTATTGGCCAGTGAACATTGTTTTTGTGATTGACCAATTTAATAAGCGATGAAAATGCTTCCGAACAATGAGTGCACTTGTAGCTTTTCTTTAGTACTTGTGATACTGCTAAACACTTTTCGCACTTGAAAATTTCATCTTTATCATCAGTTTTTTGTCTCGACAAATTTCTATATTGTGTAAATATTTGACACTCGTGACATACTTGTAGTTTCTGAACTGACTTATGATGAACTTTTAGTTTATGTCTCTTTAACATGTCCTCGTTTGAAAACATATAAGGACACTCATTGCAAAACTGAATTCTTCGTTTTTTATCGACTGTTTCATTGTGTGTGCTTTGTGGTTCATTGCCATTCGATTCAGTTCTAACGGTTTTGTTAAATGAAGTCCAATCGCCATCGTCACTATCTATTATTTCTTTGCAAAGATCAGATTCAGTCCTTTGATGGTCTCTCAAATTGATTTCTTGTGCAAATATTTTTGGACACTCAAGGGATTCATGCACATCTCTTGGTCGTTGCTGAGCTGTATTATCGTTCATTTCGTTTTGTGGTTCTGTATAAAGTTGGGATTCACTGATCAAAATTGGTTTGTCTTCATGACCGTGAACTTTTATTTTATGTCTCTTTAACTTGTCCTCGTCTGAAAACATTTCTTGACACTCATCGCAAAACTCAATTCTTCGCTTTTTCTGAACTGTTTCATGGTGTGTGCTTTGTGGTTCATTGCCATTCGATTCAGTGCTAACGGTTTTGTTAAAAGAAGTCCAATCGCTATCGTCACTATCTATTATTTCAAGTTCTTTGCAAAGACCAGATTCAGTGGTTAGAACGGGTTCGTCTACATTGTCCACGTTTTTTTCATGTTTTCCCAAATCGATTTCTTGTGCAAATATTTCTGGACACTCAATGGATTCATGCACATCACTTGCTCGTTGCTGAACTGCGTTATGGTCTTTGTTTTGTAGTTGAATTTCATCAAACGAAGTCCTATTGACATCTTCCAATTCTTCTTGTGATTCATTGCAATTCGATTCAGTACTAAAAGTTTCCTGAAAGAAAGTCCGATCGCCTTCGTCAATATGTATTATTATTTCAGATTCTTCGCAAAGATCAGATTCAGTGGCTAGAACGGGTTCGTCTACATCGTCCTTGTTTCTTTGAGGTTTTCTCGAATTGATTTCTTGTGCAACTATTTTTTGACAATCAATGGATTCATACACATCTCTTGCTAGTGGCTGAACTGTGTTATGGTCTTCGTTTTGTAGTTGATCGCAATCCTGCTCTGTGCATGAAATTTCATTGAATTGAAATTCGTTTTGTGGTTCTTCGCAAAGATTTTGTCCTGTGGTCAAAACTATCAAAACTGATTTATCCACCTCGTGATGCGATGTTTCGACGAACGACGAATGGAGGCTCAGACTCGTACCAAGATCGTGATCCACCTCGGTTACATTCAAAACCGGTTGCAAAGTTGATTTATCATGAAAATGCCATAGGTGATAATTTAAAGTATCTAAGGAAAGGAAGCTAACTTTACAGACAAAACAAGACGGGATTGAATCAAACTCAGACATTTTTTTATTGAAAGAGACAAGATTTCGTAGTTGTTACACTTTTACACTTTAAATCGTAGATATTTACTATACGAATGGCCCGATAATGACTGATTCGTCCGATTTTCTCAAGTAAACAGTTGACACACGAATATTGACGTTAAAGGGAAATTTATAAGTTGATAGTTGATTGAAAGATTCAATTCAAAACAAATCGTATATTGTAATTAGGTTACGATATTGCTTATGTCATTATTCTGAATAAGAAATATCATTATTAAACTTTTCTGTGTTATGAGTCGCTCTTTCTGACTCCATGTCATGCCCATCATAATCTTTAATTTAATACTAATTACATAAAGATTCGTAAATTATTTTATAATTGATAAGTTGAAATGGAAAATTGTTTTCATTTTTTATCAATTATTCAAAAAATTTTGTTCCATCAGCTTTTTTTCAAATAAAGTGTAGCATTTTAAGTTGATTGAAACGCCAATTTCTTTAGGTAGCTAAAAAATTTTTTAGAAAGAAATTCGTATCCAATGCATTGGCAGCCTTTTTTCCTTTCTTCTTTTCGTGGTTCACTTAAGCGCGACACAACTTTATCCCTGATTTCTTAGTAACGCATTTGTTCTCGCCCGCCCCCGTCTTACACAACGATTTCCTTTTTTGCAAATCGAACGCAATAGACAGCCACGCTCCGGCGCAGCCACAATAACAACAACAACAACAACAATAACACGAACGTTTTTAAAACGACATAAAAGCTCGCGCGCTTATTTTTTATCGCTCCCCTCCTCCTCTCGAGCTTTGCACGAGTATCGTACGTGTATGAAGAAAAAAGCTCGCGTGCACAAAAGTGTGCTGCTGCTGCTTCGCCAGGCGCGCGTGGCTGCCGTTGTCGTCTTACGTATCTCCTCTATATATACAGCGACGAAGAAAGAGAGAGAGAGAAAAAAATGAAGAAACAGGATCCCGTAGCCGGCGCTATGTTAGTATCGCAGCGTTGCAGCAGCGTCGCTATATACGTCGTTCGCGGGTGTGAGCTCGAGAGAGAAGAGGCGCAAAGCGAGGAACAAACTCGTCGAGTGCCACTCGACGTTGGCTTCTTCAACAAACTTTCTTACAAAATTTTTTCACTTCCCCTTCCAGCTCCTTTAAAGCCGATATACTCCGCTCGTTTTTCGCTGCCACTGCTGTAATGTATTATTTTTTATTACTACAAATAATATATTATAAATAGAGTATAGGCCACAAACGTGTTAACGTATCGGCAGCACTGCTCCTTTCTTACAAAACTCAATCCCCCGGTATTTTTTCTTTCCTCGACGCGTCCTTACTTCTTCCTCTTTTTTTTTCTTTATTTTTATACACACACACACACGTTACGTATGTATATTGCGTGCACTTTCATGCGTGAGAGCATATAAAATAGGTCGGAGAGCTCTATATTCCTCCGGTAAAGAGAGAGATGAAGAGAGAGCTGAGGACTGAGAGAAAAAATACACATGGCCTGTGTGTGTGCGTGTTTTTTTTTTTATACGACGAAGGGAAGAGCAACTATATATCCTCCCTCGGCGCTGCTGCTGCTGCTGTGAATTTCATTTCTACTCTCCTCGTCGTCGGGCAATCTCGCCGCGCGCGCACGTGATTATCAAAGGCTGCGGTATCAACTGCTTCTTATTATATACACATGTGCACAAATGTGTATGTGGGTGTGAACGCGCGATCCAAGCTCACTTCGTATCACTGCTTCGTGCGAGTGTCTCTTTGCTGCAAGGGTATCTGCTGCTGCTGCTGCTCTGTGTGGGAGTATACCAGTGGGACACTGCTCGAGACACCGTGGAAGCTTCAGCATCCACATGGATTTTCTCGACGAGGTGCAGAGAGAATGAGGCACTCGTGTGTATATATATATATGCGCATATAAGCTCGAATATATGTGTGTGTGTATGTCAAGCAGAATTTCCCAGTATAAGCGCGATAGTACGCGCGGAGCGACGTGCACTACATACGAAAACTCGCCGCGCCGAGTCACACCCTTATATGCGCGGCTCGTGCTCGCGCCCGTTCGCACCTCTGAGCTGTGATGCAAACATACACACTCCATATACCTGTGCGTGCTTGCAGAGGGTAGATATAGATAGAGGGTTTGGTATCGAAAAATGACACTCTCGGCGAACAGTCGTGTATGTATAAGGACTAGATGTATAATTCGCGAATATTCGGTGGCCGTTGAGAGATTTTCGATGCTTTTTTTTTTTAGGGTAGATTAAATATGAATTCGAAATTCTCACAAGTATTTCCACAAAGATACGATGCCGTGGATATGTGTAAACGTATAACATGATATAGGCTCCGGAAATTCGCGTTGAATTGTTTCATACATCAAAGCACCCGGCTCGGCTACAATAATTGGTTTCGATAAAAGTGTACGAGGCTGCGCGTAAAAAATACACACACGCACACACTAACACACAGTAAGTAGTGCTAAGTGATTGGCTCGATAGCATACTCTATTCATACATAGTTTTCCGTTCCTTTTTTTTTTACTATATTCGCCGGAAAGAGAGAGAGGGAGAGAGAATAAAAAAAGAGACAGAGTTTTCATTCCAGATATGCAAGGCCAGCGGAAATAAATGTAGCGAATTGAAACTACACTTTTCAAAATTTGAAGAAAAAAAAAAATAAGCAAATGGAGTGTACGAAGCACACGAGACTTGGGTATACACACGAGCGGGGCTCTGCAATTGAAATGTAAAGTGCTCGCAGGTCTGATGAAATGCAATTTTACTTCTCTTCTTTTTTGCTGGCTGCCGCTGCTGCTCAACTGCTAAACGATCATCGCATCGCTTTCGATTAATTTATAAAGTGCATAATGCTACCGAGCTTTTGAAAGGAGTAAATTCTCGAGCGCTTCGCGTGTGCCTGCTGCGCTGCGAGTGATCATCGCGGCTCGGGTATAATATTTTCATAATTATGTGCGCGATCGCAAAGCAAAAACAATTAAACGAGTTGCAACAGGATACTTTTACCGGTTGAAAGATATGATTTCGTGAAATTTCCACTGTACTCGTTTCAGTGTGTTCTGTATACCTGAATAAAAATAAAAATAAAAGTGAATCCCCCGCGCGCAAAATAATATACTTCACCCGCGATCCCGGTGGTATAGTAGCGGTAGCAGTATATGTAGGCAGAATTATATAAATTGATTGTACACTAGAAATCGCCTCTGGAACAATTTCAAATATATGTATATGCAGGATCGCTCGATCTGTACTCTTGAGCCATGTTCAGTTTTCGGAATGATATATATTCGGAATCGTAAATATTCGGAATATTTAAAATTCGGAATGTTTGAAAATCGGAATATTGAAACCGGAACATGAACAATTCGGAAAAACAAAATTTCGGAATATAGTATATTACTGCCCTAGGCCGCGAAAAACAGAAAAGTCCCAGGGCACGTGTAATTAGTGGCCGAGGCGAAGCCGAGGCCGATAAACACGTGCTCTGGGGCTTTCTTTTTTCGCGGTTTAGACCTGTATACTATTTTTCATACCTCGTGGCCCGAAAATAGCTCTTCCCGTTTTGCGCAGCGGCCGGGAAGTAGTCACTTTCGGGCCGCTGGTATGAAAAAAAAATTTCGGAATGAAAAAATTTCGGAAAAATTAAAATTCGAAATCCACAAAATTTTTAATAGGAAATTTTATTGTCTACATTCTCCACTAACAATATTGTGGATTCCGAATTTTAATTTTTCTGAAATTTTTTCATTCCGAAATTTTTTTAATCCGAAATTTTGTTTTTCCGAATTTTTCAGGTTCCGTTTTTAATATTCCGATTTTCAAACATTCCGAATTTTAAATATTCCGAATCTTTACGATTCCGAATATTTATCATTCCGAAATCCGAACATGGCTCGTGATGGTAGTTATAGAAGTCGTTTATTCGGTTTCAACCGCGATCATGTGCCGGAGCCAATTTTTTTTCCTCGAACGTTCGTTCTTCATTCGAATAAAAGTAAAAAAAAAAAAAAACACGAGTACAAGATTTGATCGGATAAATTAAGTTTGAATAACGCGATATACTCCACGTCGTTATTGAAAAAATTACACGAAGAGCGAATTATTGGATTTACGCGCTTTAAAGTCGTGTGTATACTTGTTGCCGTAATTTTTTTCACACCGTAAATATACATGCGAAGAAAAACGAGCCTTTTTACTCTCTCTCTCTCTTGAGTATCAATCAATGCGTTTTAACCGCGAATATACCTACTTTTAAAGGAAGCGGCTTTTAAGCGCGGCAATAGCCTCTAAAGCGGCAACAAGTTCTCGAGCCGCGTAAAATTAAGTACTCATTTCCCGTATACAACGAAACGTATGCAAGCCGCACGCATTGATTCAATCGTTCGATTGGATTATGTAACTTTCACCCCGTCCCAGTTCCTGCTCACCTCGGGATCATTGAAATCCAAGGCGTCGATGAACCGATTGTGTCACGATCTACGATCGAATTATATCATCGCTCCTCAATTTGCGCATCCTCCTTCGCTCGGCCTCTCAATTATAATCAAACACTTGCGATGCACGCGTGCGAGCGCATCCTTGCACTCTCTATACTCTATCTGTCTGTCTCGGCATCTGATATTTAGCTCGAAATTCAATTGCCAGCTGCGTCGGGCTTAATTCGCGCGTCGATGCATGCCTGTGCGCGCCCATAGAATCCTCTCGGCTCGCGTTGTGTATATACGTATGCGCACTGCGGATAAGTCAAAGCTGCCGAGATTGACGCCTCTGGCTTACTTTGGCGCGGTGCGCGCGTTTATTACTCCTGCAGCGTACTACTTTGATGTATGTACGCCGTTGCTGCACGTGTGCAGATCCCGTATCGTACATATATGTATAGACGAAGTTTCACCACCGAGTCACCTGTGCGCGTGCTTGTAAAGCTTAATATCTGTATATATATACGCGCGGGCGTGTGCAACTGTAAAATGGCCGCACGCTCGTGGATGTGGC